TTTAGGATAGAGTTTACGGATAGAGGCTTACTTGGAAATGCTCCGTGAGAACAGGCGAGAGAGCTTGTTTGACTAAACTGACTGAGTTTGTTCTGACTTCACCAGACACGGTGGAGTCTGCATAGTATCCGCATCGCAGCGGAGTGCGTATATGTGTATGTGAGGGAACATCAGCTTAAATAAGAATTTCAGGGCATCCTCCCAATGAAAACCTTGCATGTCCTATTTTGGAGCTCTTCATTTTGTGTTGCTCTGAAGCTGTCCGTTGGGAATTTCACTGCACTACCTTTTCTTTTATATCTCTTCCAGCGAAAGGCCACATTATTTGTTCTGAGAGGTAAAGTTCTGTAATCGAATCAGCAGAACTCATGATCAGAGGTTGCCGCAGATGAATCGGCGCTGCTCACTTGTGCTCAAACACTAACAAATGCCTGGGGGAGTAACGGTCTCAATGGATGTTTTAAGCCTGCAATATATGGAAACCGTGGAAAAACTATTGTTTAGTTTCATGAATGCATACATATAAATCTCAAAAGGTTGGCCTTTAGGAGGTTGAAACTCAGCAGGCAACCCTGGCTCCTCTCAGTTATAGCTGTTGGAGTTGTTGCATAGCTTAATTTTGATATACGACACTAACACAGTGCTATGTTTACAGATTCTAATCCCTGAAAAGTATGCATTTAAATTGTAATTGCTCATAGAAGATTTTTGTGAAGAGCACAGTTTAGTGTGCCTTCATTATGGTTGATTTTATGGGTACTGTAACAGAACCCGGTGCTAAATTGTGAAAGACCAAAGTACAGAAAAGCTCCAACATTTCAGTTCTGCTCTTTGCAATAGAGGCTGCATTAGGCAGGGTCAGCTTTCTCTTTGATATGCTGAAGAACAGTGCAGAAGATACACAGATGCACTGCTATTAGTGTCAATGGTGGAGAGAATTAAACATTCGAAAGTGTGGTTACACTTTACTAGAGTCAGTGCTGACAATGCTCACTGCCACAGCAACAGGTGGCAGAAACATGAGCAATCTGGCAACTATAAAAGTATATTACGGTACAATACAAAGGTTCCGAAATTCAAATCTTTAGAGATGGGAATGTATTGATTGGTTTTTTGATTCTGATATCCATCAAGTGATACCCAGTCTGCACCCATGAGTACATTGGTTTCGCTTGCTATATTTATACACCCTCTTCATGAAAAGTCCTTTCAAAATGTGACATGTCTGATGGAAGAGCAGGGTTGTGAAAAGGTATGAAAGCCACAGATTTACTGTATTACATGTCAGAAGCTAGGAAAAACATGTCCATCACTAGGCAACATCTTTGCAGTGCAACTAACATTCGCAAAATCCAAAGACATTCAATTTACAAAGCAAAGAAATCAGCAAACCCTCACTTTTAAGATGGTAAAAATTGGTCATTTTAGCTTGTAAAAAAGCTTAAACAACCACAACGTAATCAATTTTTCTGTCATTTCATTTGATATTTATTCATTGCTTAATTAAATGTTTCATCATTTCTATTTAATTTAATCTGCCTGCCCTTGGGCTCAGATTTCTGCAGAATATCTTTCTAAACAAGATAGCGAAAGCATTATGACTGCAGACATTAAAGGGTTGGGAGACACCTACTTATCGCCCACTTAATTGCAGAGTTTGATTTTCCTTATACAAATGAAGTTTTATACAGTAGTTTTAGAATAATTTCCTTTAAAGAGTAATGACAACGGGTGTATGTAAAATATGTAAAGAGTAAATATTAGCATATCACTTTATCACAGGCGATATTTTGAAAAACAAGGCTAACACGACCCAGCTAGAAAACTGACAGACAGACAGATGTTCAACATTTAAATGTCTGTCTTCAGACTCCCACACACAGTCTGTCTGTTAGCATGATTGACTGTATGATGTGTATACGCAGTCACTGTCACGCTGACCATGTGTCTACAGTCATCTGCAGTAAGGAGAGACACACACAGGCTGGCAGGCAGACAGACAGACTAAACGTCAGATTAGAGTGGCAGACAGACAGATTTGACAGGGGAAAAAAAACATTGTGTACCACTATTTGGAGGGAAAAGATAGCTCGGGAATATCTCCCGGAAGATTGAAATCTCTGTTCACACAGAGGAGCGGCAGTGTGGGGATGTGAAGATACATGGTCAGGGATGGAGATGATAATCTTAATGGACTGGTCGTCTATCTGTAAGCCATTGATTCACACACAAACATGTAAGGGAAGGTTTAAATATCTCAAAAGCCTTCTCCAACTTCTGATTTGAAATCAGCTTACAGAAGGGAGGAGAATTATTGGAAATGAATTTGAGGACAGTGAAAACATGTCTCTATAATTTTAGGACATATTGTTAAAATGATTGTAGCAGAATATCCCGTAGGATTTTACCTAGAGATAATACACACAGATAAGCAATAAGCCTTTACATGGAATATTGCACATTGACGGCTTATGACTACTTTTGTGTGCATTTGTGTGTTCCTGTGTGTGCATTCATGACAGATGTCTTCATAACTGGAATAATAGAAACCACTTCTGCCAGGCCCCAGAGCTACACAGGCACATACACACAGGAGCCCTTTGGCTATCCCATCCACCTGAAGGTTGGCATAATCATGCATAACACACACAAAGTTGGGCTGTCACATCTACTCAAAGTACAGGTTAACTGCGGCCTTAAGCAAAGTCTGTCTCATTAAATATACTTTGTTTACATAGCTTAAGTTTTTCTTATAAAGCATAAAAGATAACAAAACTACTTTACATTTTTTAGGGAAGATAACTAACTGTTGTATAAACTAACACTAAGAAGTAAGAGAGGTTGAGAACTTAAAATGTGCCAGATTAAGACCATGGGTTACACTTTAACCGAGAGTCATCGGGAAATCCCAGACTCAGTGGGTTGACTGGATCATTAAACATTTACTGAACATGAAAGGCGGGAACTGGTCACTGTGACAAGAGGAACAGTGGAGATTTGCTGTAAAGTTTCCACCCCAAAGTGAAACATGCCATAATCAGTTTGTAACCTTATAACTGTACTTCAATGCCACCTATATACTTATAATTAAGAGTTAGTTAATGAACAACCCTTTCTTCAAAGACCCTTGCCTTGCCAAAAACCACCTCCAAAATTTAAATGAGTCTTCCTGGGAAATGGGAAAAGGTGCTTCATACAGGAGTGACCCTGAAAAGCACAAAACGAAACCATGACAAGCTTGAATATGTTACTATATGCATTTCATTACAAAGGACTCTGACTTTGAATTATTACTACCATTAACAATATAATATAATATATAATACAATATAATAACAGAGCACAACTATGATCCGAGCCTAAGGCCTGCAGACTTTGCCTTCATGTTGCCAGGAAGTTTAAAGTGAGCAACAATAAAGATTACATTAGAAAAGAGCATTTAATTTCTAATGTAATCAGTTTTGTTGCTAGAGTATAAATACATTCCTGAAAAGTGAAAACAAATACAAAGCATCATGTCTTGTCTCACAATCAAGACTCTCTGTTATTTGTGCCAAAAATTGTATTTATTTACAATCGAGTGAGGAACCTGGAAACCTGGAAAGGGTCTGATACTAAAATTACGATTGATTAGACACTTGTTTGCAAAAGTATCGATACCAACAAGCACATCAAAACTTGGCAAAGCATCTGACACCTGAGAGGAGAGGTCAGTAAAGCTCCATTTCAGCAACATTCAAGTATTAAACAGTATATCGTAAATGTTAAATGCTAACACTATTATGACAACACAACCATTACCTCACCTCCAATAAACCAGCAGTTTACTAATCCGTTATAACAAATATTCTTCACTTGGGGCCTATGTTCAGTGAAATCTACAAAATTCTGCCAGAGTAGATGTAGAATCTGCCAAAACCATTTTAAAAAACTTGTACTCCTTAATATGATTTGACAGTATTTCTATCCCACTGGGCATCCGATTGGTCTCTATTATTTTTATACTGAATAACGTCTGCATTGGAACATAGCATTCCTACGTTAGTTTTCAGGGATTGATTAAAGTGGCACTCTACAAAATGATCTATCTATCTATCTGCAGTGTGAAGAGTGGGTAGCATATCTTACAAACTTGTAACCTTCACAACCAAAGGACAACTCCTTTATTAAGGAGAGACAGAAGAGAAGAGAAGAGAAGAGAAGAGAAGAGAAGAGAAGAGAAGAGAAGAGAAGAGAAGAGAAGAGAAGAGAAGAGAAGAGA